TGGTGCCCCTTTGTACCAATATTCATGTGTTTAAATAAATAAATTATCTTGAAGCCCGGATATTGTAAAAAGTGGGAATATTGCTTAATACGGCTATCTTTCATCATAAAGTTTCTGAATTGAGGTTTAATCCTCTTTAGAATACAAGTGGCAAGATACTTAGAGTACAGAACCCTGAGAGTATCTATAATTTAATATGAGTGAGTTTTTCAAATATATTGTTACGGGGAGTCGTGAAATATTTCTCGTCAATGTCTTTAGAGGTCAGGAACACCAGGATAAGTTTTATCCAATCAACATTGAACAGAAGCCTCATGTGTCACGGATTTTGATTGGATATTTACTTATACTGCAAAGGTATTTAGTATGGTTTTAGAAATCTCCGTGAGCCCAAGGACGCGCGTAACCCTCAATTTCTGTACATAAACTAACTTTGGAGTAAAGCATTCACTCGCAATTAGCGTCTTTTCTCTAGTGTTACAATTGAGGTGTGGAAGTAGTTGGGTCTATCGGAACCGGCTAGGAAAACAGATTAGGCATACCAGTAGCAAGACTTACCATATATATTTACTGTCATAATATCCCTAAGGCTCTTAAAGGAAATTTGAGTTTTTATCATAAAGGTTATGTTTTCAAGTTACCAATACCCAAATAAACAGGAAGAAATATACTTATTTTTAACAACGATTGAAATTGAAATAACAGGCTATAAGATATGATTGACAGTAGTATACATTGGTTCCTTCTACTAAAGATTGTTGAAATTTGTTCAGTCTCAATAGAAGTAAAAGAGCTGATATTTATCAACAGTTCAACTTAGATGTCGAATAAATACATGAAACCAACAAACTATATGATATAATGGCAGGTATATGCACATCAAGAATCCTAGACAGATAGATTTTAGGAACCATAATCTTCAAAATACAATCTATCCTTATTATGAACTCGAATGATCATTAATTAATATTAGCCAAATGGAACTATGTGCATCTTTCAAACTCGAACTAATATCTTAGTAAATCCAACTGATAATTTCGGACAACAATCATTCTGGAAGTGACCGGTTATGATTTGATGCTTTCTCACAATATCAAGTTAATTAGCTTAGTTTAATAATTCTCAACCAGTTGTAGCTACTGACGAAAGGTTGATGACAGACAAGAAAAATTATGAAACAAGAGACTTAGTTCATGGTGCCCTAAATAGGTATCTACGGCATTGACGTTTTCCATCTAGCAGCCTCGTTTAGGAATAATCCTCCTTAAAGATCCTGTAAAGGAAAGTGGGTTGATACCCAGTTGACACAACCATCTAGAAGACTGGTCACACATACTCCCGAAAGATAACTGTTTGAAACCTGGTAAACATAACCGGGTGAATATTTTTAAATTTGTCAACTACGAAATATTTGTTTAGAATCTCATATACGACGTCTTTTGGCAATACTGAATATCAGTCAACCTCCTAAACATGCTAGTAAATGAAGCAACAAGTGCTCTAGTCAGTATATGTCGATTGGTTCATTACAATAGACAAATCTGATCATAAAGAATCGACAATTAGAAAGACCCACAAATTATAGTGAATATGAACATGAAATCAGTACAAATTTTCATTCAGTAGAAAACCATCAACCAGAAAGTATCAAGAAATTACCATGTTGTTTCTGGCGCCAACTTCAGATACACAATTGGTGTTACAAACAATCCCATTACGGGCTTGTACGATAGTATGTATTGACTTGATTATGAAAGAACGCAAGCATCTATAGAAACGAAACAAAACAAAGCAGAACTAGGACAAAAAGTCTGAATATTCATAAAGAAACATAAGTTTAACGTACATACCTAATGTGCTAACCGAAGCTTTAATATAAAATGACAATTAAAAGTTTACTTTGTAAAACCAAAATACCAAAAACCACTTTAATCAAAAGTGAATGAGAGGTTACAGGATCTTAACTCTAGTTTGAAGTCCCCAAAGTCCTCGATTTTCCATCATAACCAACAGGAAAGATAGAAACGACATTAAAGTCCGAAAAGTTATCCAGTCAACGAATGAAACTAAAAGTACCAAATGGATGACTGCTTGAGACCAGTTATAAAAGGTCCTTTCATGAAAAGTTCTAGATGCATTAGCTCCATATTTACAAGTCCTTACAAACAACGATGTGAATCACTGGGAGTAAAATAAGCTATTTCCAAGCCCATCTTTCTTAAAGTACTCCTACAAGACTGGTAGGACTCTGATCCTGTACTCACCCTGGGTAATGGGCAGATAGAAGTAGTCGAGAAGTTCATGTATCTAGGTAACTGCATAAGTGCTGGTGGTGGCGTGAGTGATGAGACCAATTCATATATAGTGAAAGCCAGAGCGGCATATGCCAATCTGCGTCACATTTGGCCCCTTCGTGATGCTAGTCTGGCTGTAAAAGGTCGGATCTACAACGAGTCAATGAGAGCAGTTTTGCCCTATGCTTGTGAAACCTGGTCTCTCCGAGTTGAGGATGTTAGACGACTCTCTGTGTTTGATCATCGTTGTCTCCGAAGGATTCCTGACACCCAGTGTCAACACCATTTTAGTAATGCAGAGGTTCGGCATCGTGTATTCGGGAACAGCGACGATAATTCGACTGATGTCACTATCTTGAAACATCGACTTCGGTGGCTTGGACATGTTCTACGAATGTCGTCCCAGAAAACTCCACGTCGTGCATTATTTGCCGACGCTGGGAGTGGTTATATTATTATTATTTATTTAAACACATAAATATTGGTACAAGGAAGCACCAGATACATATGCGCCTCACAAATTTCATTCGATCTGTGTGAGGGCTGTGATACTGCCCAGGTGCCCAGACTGAAGCAGGTGGTTTTCTTAGGGAGCCACACCCCGGGACTGGTTGGAAAAAGCGGAGAGATGGTCAGCGTTTGACATGGTGTCGTGGTATAAAAGAAAGCTGCAAAGGGCTGGCTTCTGTTGGTCCTTCACGACTCCCTGGTTGGGGTGAGAAAGATGGCACAGCACAGTGGACAGAGATGTTATCAGATATGGCTCAGAATAGAAGCCAGTGGCGATCCTACTGTAATCTTCATTTACTTTCCTCATAAAAAGTAATCGTAATTTCTTTGACTGAAAGAATTCTTTCTGGTTGCACCTTTCTGTTTCTCCCACTACCATGCACTAATTTGTGGTCGTTATTGTTCTTTTTCCTTTTAAGAGAACCTCACACTTTATCTCTTTCCATTCTTATTGCTACTGTGTGGCGCTTATGCATCTGGTGCCCCCTTGTACCAATACATGTGTTCAAATAAAATAAATAATAAATATTATCAGTTGAAAGTCGACTACCTTAACTATTAAGCCGCCACTTTACTGATAGTATGTTAAGACAGGTCAAACAATTTTGTGATTAATGTTTTTGGATTTTAGACTATTTCTACCTTTTTATGCTAAAATAACGGATTCAAATCGATTATCCACAGTTTTGAATGTCAAAAAGAAATTGCTAAATACTAAGAACTTTCCGAATTGTCGGTTGAATGTGTCATTTCATTTATTTGGGAACTTTCAGGGTTGAAGTTCGTTTCATACAACACAATTTGATAATTAAACGGTAGTAAATAACACTAAAAACACCAGTGCAGAACTGAAAAACTTTACTATCATAATCCCAAGTTTGTATTACAAAACTGAATATTCGCTTTTTATAAGCTTTTAACAAATAGTTTGCAGTTTCGAACCTGACTACTGTTTCCACCAATCGAGTAGTGTTACCAAGCCCCCAAATGCCCTGGTACGGCCGAGAGTGGGGAGAGTCTGCTCTCCCTCTCAAAATGCTCTCATATGGCCATGCGAATATATAGCCTCTGCCAGGGAAATCCTACTCACTGCCTTCTCGTGGCGGGGGTGTTGTTCACAAAAGTGAGAGGACGAAAAGCGAATGTCCGGCACTTTAACCGGGTTGGTGGATGTGGAGGATCCACCTAGGGGAGTTGGAAAACCCTGATTCCAAAACAATGGTGCACATGGGCTTCAGCATCCTGACAGAACAAATGGCGTATGAATCAATCATTGATCACCGGCTACCATGAGACCTCACGATGCTCCACTGCCTTGTGGATCAGACCTTTAGGTCAAAGGCTCCGGGTGTGGCCCCCTAAGAAAACCACCTGCTTCAGTCTGGACACCTGGGCAGTATCACAGCTCTCACACAAATCGAATGAGATTTGTGAGGTGCATATTTATCTGGTGCTTTTTTGTACCAATATTTATGTGTTTAAATAAATAAATAACCAAGCTACACAAAAGGTTTGTGACTCAAAGGTGAGAATATAAACATGTACTTGATAGATTAACTATATTATCTGCTTAGGGAACGAATGATTTCCACAAATAAATAAATAATGACTACAAAAGACTAAAGTTTGTCTTACTAAAATGGTAACTTTAACTTACTTTTCGATAGCAAGCTTTTCTTCATGTCTCGGGGGTAAATTGATCATCTAGTCTACAAAATACATGAGCGGTTGAAAATAATATCACATGAAAATAAAAACGACGAAACGACTTTAATAAATGTTTATTTATTAAAGGTCCATATTACATAATAGTGCCAGAGTTGTAGAATACATCCAAACGAAATACGATATAAATAAAAATAATAATAATACTTTGAAAATAATCTGAGATAAGTTTACGTAAAAGTAAAATCACAAGGCGAATTCCGGAAAATCATACCAGCAAAATTTTACATCGGTAAAATACAAAAAACTGCATATATTTTGGTGTATGAATCAAAAAATAATAAGTAACTAACTTTTAAACTGAAAGATATGTATCAAACACAATCAACAAATATATAAAAATGATAAAGTGATAAGAAGCATTGCACAGAGGCTGTAATTACAATGCTTAAATAGGTAACAGGTAGAAATACTGGAAACCAGATGATTCTACAACAAGTAACAAGAGACCAGATCATCAAAAAACGTTATCTATTCAGTAGAAGGTTTAAAAGTTACGGTTGTTAAAGCCACATCCTGAAAGTCATATGCGGCTGTTAGGTGAAATCCCATATTAGCAATCGCAATACCATATTCACTAGCTGAAAACCAACTGAATGCTTAAAATAATAAAACAAATATATCATCATTGTTATGGGTAATTTTAAAATAAAATGAAGAATGACTAGCAAAACACGAGTGGACCAAAACAAATGAATATAATTTGGCAAATTTAGCTTATTAATTATTACACATTTATGGACAGTAACTGATATTAACGGTGGTCTATTTGGACGGGCATCTATCGGTTTATTATGACTCTTGTGAACTACCAAAGTCTTATTACTCGAAATCCAACGCTCAATCGATAATTTATTCCATAGTTTCATGATCATTACAGAATCTTATGGCAGAAAAACTACGAATTCATGCTACTTAGGAAGCATGACCGACAAGTTCCAGGATTCATTACGAACTTTAAAAATAATAATCTGCTTTGTTTTAGCTCATGAACACTACCATAAGACAAAAATCACAGAAACGTCAGTCAGTCATATGCAACGTATAACCTAATACACAAGTGAAGTGATCTAAGCTACCACACTAAATTTTTAAGTGATAAAATTATGAAACTTAAGAATAGTAATAATAACAGCATCAGTAATAATCGAAAAGATTAAGTATATATGGTATTATTAACGAATGACGATGATACACCACCTCTGTAGCGAGTAATCAATTGAGACCAGTAAACCATAATAAGTTATACAGACGCTCATTTTGCTGGCGGTGTTGTTTACAAAATCGAGAAGATGAAAAGCGAATGTCCGGAGCTTCAACCGGGTTGATGGACGCGGAAAGTTCACCTAGGGGAGTTTGGAAAACCCTGATTCCAAACCAATGGTGCATATGAACTCCACTATTCTGAGGGAACAAATGGCGTATGAATCAATTGTTGGTTACCGGCTACCATGGGACTACATCTCCTCACAATGCTGCCTTGTGGGTTAGACCATTAGGTCAAAAGGCTCCGGGTGTGGGTCCCTAAGAAAACCACCTGCTTCGGTTTGGGCACCTGGGCAGTATCACAGCCCTGACACAAATTAAATGAGATTTGTATTCCCTGGTACCAATATTTATGTGTTTAAATAAATAGATAAAAACTCATTTTGACTTTTATTTACGATTTAAACCAATTATAGTCTTTTCTACTTAATTCTGAAAAGTTTTCATAAACGTAGTTCAGTATGAAATATAGGTACTACACTTCATTAAAATATGGCAACAAAACATGTACGAGTACCTAACATTTTGTAATTTAGATTTAACAGATTAAGCTTCAAAATTACTTTCTAATGGTGACAAGTAAAATAAAAGCTGAACAGCTATACAAGTAAACACGAACTTACCATTTGCCTTACAGGTGAACCTATGGTTGTAGAACTGGTGGACTAACAAGAGGATTAAGCAAACATCTAGTCCAAAAAACAGGAGCTTCAGGTTAAAAGAATATCCAAACTGAAAATATTAGTATAAGAAATACAAACACGTTACTCTCGGAGTGCAAGAAGTGATTCCTATAATCCGATGAACCGCTAGAGTGACTACCATGTAGGCAGTTGAAGCGAATAGGAAAACAATGAACAAATGTTCATGGAGAGCTACAAAATCTTTCAGAAGGAACAAGATGAAACATACGATAATTCTCTTGGTTAGATATAAAAGCCACCCCCACAAATGAGCCCACATCCAAAAGGTTGAGGCAGAATGCAGCCACAGTCAGCATTTTATAAATCAATGACTGGGTGAACATTTTCTGATAAGACATATGGTATCGAAGATATATAAACGCAAGGAGTAGACGTGGTGCACTATGAAGCCCAACTGTGAAGCGCCATAGGTATATTTGGGGTTTAATCCCAGTAACAGCACTGATAGATGGAACAAAATTGGATACCTATAAAGTAATTCTATTACTGCAACAATTACCCCACACACAGACTCTGTAACCTCATCGAAACTATTGTATGTTGATATCAGGAAGCAAATAATTAAGCCAAACAACGACAAAGATACACCAGCTACTACAAATAAGGGAAATGGAACCCAAAGCAACTGATATAACCCTCTATTTGCACAACCCATAAAAAATGAAGCCAACCCCCTTGCCTGAAGCGTACTTTCCGAAACTCGCGGTCTTAAATTTCAGAAACAACCGCATCTTGATTTTTCAAATACCTAATAATACTTTAATGTAGTCTAGTTTATTTCTCTGAAACTTCACTCTGTTATCGAAAACAGATTTAAATCTCTGTTTGTATTTAGAGTAACCATACAAAGAGCAGCTCGAGAAGCTATACCACTTTAGTCTGTTCTATCTCAGATTAAAAGGTAATTAGACTTTGATGTTTAAAATGTTGAGAAGTAGTCTTAGGCCTGAATTATCACAAATTTTTCTGCCTACCAGGTCAAGACAACACAGGGTACACAGTATCCGAGTACAAAAGCCAAAAACTAATAAAATCTACATGACTTGAAGGTTTTCACATAGAGTCATCAATACTTTCAACCTGTTAACAAAGAAGTGGTGTCTGTATACTCATATATTACTAACCTTACAGGAAACAGAATAACATGCCGTAGGCCTTCTCTGTTCATCACACAATCGTGAATCCGAAATCCTTCTAGCCAAATTTCTACTGATAACTTGAAACGAAGCCTCGGCCGATATAATGTAAATGGTTCAAAAAGTCATTAAAAATACTCAGCCCGCCATACTATAATTCCACCCTACACTGTATGTCAAAACAGGGTTCAAGGTAGAGACTCAAGGGACCAACTTCAAATTTTATTGGCAAAATGAGTAAAATTATTGTGCCTCGGGATGTAAGTCACGTCATCTATTTTTTATTCGGTTGCGGGAAGGTAGGACTCTTGTCATATTCATTCTTGGAACTGACGACAAGACAATTTAGTCGATAGCAGAAGTATTTGGGAAATAATACTTAGGGTAACCTCCCCTAGTACCTGCAGAATTGAAGTGATTGTTGAACCTTCCTTTGACAGATTCAGATGAAGGTGCCACCGCTACAGCTTCCAGTACGGGGTTCCATAAATTTCTGACTTGAACAGTACCACCACTACATTCGCTGATATTGAGGAATGGGGGGGTTATTGGTGGTCCAGTTGTGAATCCTATATAAGCCTTCTTGAAAAGTCAGGATATCACCTAAGCCAGGTTTTTCCTCTCTAATATTGAGATCGTCTGTGTAAAGACGTAAGATATTTCACGTGTTTGTGGTTGAATTTGTGTAAACGTACACAATCTGACAGTACATCTTGTTCCTCTCTCAATGCAACACTGATTATATTACTCCATATATTCGCGTATATTAAATCCATCTATGTTGGTTTGTTTGCAATTATCACATTATTATACTGTCTACAGATTCCGAAACTGACTGAGACCCATATATCGTCAGAAATCTGTTATTTGCCTCACTTATGTTTTGTTTTACTGTTTCCATATAGGATTACCACTCCGGAATTTCTCCTATGTGAGTCAATTGATTCGGTTCTATCCCAGTGAAACTGATACGAGTCCTCCGTTTTTAGGAACTTTTATTGTTGTTAACCATCAGTTAGGTGTATGAAATTTGCATTTCCTAGGTAATGATCATCTTGTAGTCAAGTTGTTTACTTTGGGCGCAAACTGAATTACTATATCCTCTGTCTTTGGATTGTACGTACCAGTTCAGATTCTTACCTATTTAGTCGTCAAATTTTCTATGATCCCATTGTAACAGGTGTTGTTAAACATGGAGATTGTGTAGATGGCGTCGATTCTTGATGGACTAAGATCACCACCACAATGAGATTACGCGCCCAAAAACGACTTGGTTCCCTCGATAATTCGCAAACCAGAATACTGTAACCGATCCAGAAAAAGTATATTTATTGGCGATCTCGTGGTATCGAAATAATACCGAAACGTGCCAAAGATTACAGGCAATAAGGACAGAGCGTAAGAAAGTTTGAACCAAAAAAGGCGAACGACCGAAAGAAAAGTGACTTTGATACAGTTAAACAAGTACTGTAAAACAATCGTTGGTACAATTGTTCACAATAATAATAATTGTTTCTATTATTCCAATCGCGTTCTCGTCGAGACAAGCCGGCAACTGCAACTGTACCTATTGAGGAAAGTATCGCTTAAATACATTTTTATCTCTTGATCTCAAACTTACGGCAACAGAATACCTGCTTTCCCACTTTTAATAAATTTCAACATTCTATATGAAGACTATTACTAATTATCGTCCTTTGAAATATCGACACAAAAAAAGAGACCATAAGTCAATTGAAGCTAGACCACCATCGAAAACCTGGAAACACTGGACGGCCGTTTCGTCCTATTATGTGACTCCTCAGCAGTGCGCATCCACGACCGCGGGAAGCAGTGGCCAGTGGAGTTCTACCAGGTCTGTTGTAGAGATATCGTCTCAGTGAAGACAATTTGTGAACGGTCGCTCAAAATCGTGGATTGGTTGAAGTTAGACATTAACACCACTGGATGCCGGCTCAGTGGTCTATCGATTAAGGGCCTCGGCTCGAGACTGGTAGGTCCTGGGTTCGAATCTCGCGAGTGCGGGATCGTGGATGCGCATTGCTGAGGAGTCCCATAATAGGACGAAACGGCCGTCCAGTGCTTCCAGGTTTTCGATGGTGGTCTAGCTTCAATTGACTCATGATTTCAACTATGAAAATACTAAATTCTCCACAAAACCCCCTCGGAACAAAAAAGAGAGTCACTGAAGAATCCAGCGGCACGGGACTACAACGATTCATTGAGTTCTAGAACTTACAAAAAGAAAAGATGAGAGTCGATAGAGTTTTGTCATCAGTGGACATTAAAATAGAGATCCAATAATCAAGCTCTGTGGGACTCCACTTGTCAATTAAATTCAGTACTAATAGTCATTACAAGTTTTGCCGACCTGTATTCCTAGAGTCGCATCATCAGACACCAATTTGAAGTCTCAGAATTCAGTTTCTGACACAGAATATGATAATCAGCATCGTAGAACGAACAAGGGACTTTTGAGAGGTCAATATGAAAGAGATGGTTGTTTCTGTGAGGTTCCTAGCTAATCAGGAGAGTAAAGCTTGTAGGACATCTTTGCATATTTCTCAATTTTTTAACAAACTTTTATTGTTCGTCTTTACTAAGGACGCCCCCTTTTTATTTCAACCTGCTGTTATATGACGCCATACCAAAACCAATAAGGTCTTGTTTGACTAAGCTTAAGGCTGTGGTGCTGAGCGATTGTTTGCTTTCACTCACCGACTGCCTACTGGAGGCATTTGTCGTTTAACTTGATCCTTACAAACAGAATTCCGATCCCGTTCTGTTGAAAATAGTCTTGTTGATTTACAATACGTCATTTTGCACAAGAGAATCTTTCTACTGCATAGTAGCTGAGGAGTACTGTTGAGGTATTTTGTATTCTTGGATACATTTCGCTTCCATATTACTACCGTAAAAATTTCCGTTTCAATATAACCGTTGTCTGAGAGTGACTAAAAGAGGCTTCGTACACTACGAAAAAGAAAGTGGTTTGACATAATCGAATAAACTTTGGCTTTTTGATCGCTTTCCGAGGTCAGATTAAATGTTTTAATTTGGTAGTTACCCTTGACAAAGGAACGCTTAAAGCGAGTATACAGAGTGAAGCAAAGCAGGTCCACGTGTTTTTTCAGGACTCTGAGTTGAGTAATATTTCAGCCGGCAGGGTTGTGTGTGTTTATGCATCTCAAAATTTTGAGGAGTTGAAATGTACGATCTCTTTATATGCATTTGTGTGTGTATGAGGGTGTGAGAAAGTCCTTCGCATATGCATTGTGTGTGACATCACCATTTTATTTCTTCTTGAATACCAAGTTCCCATTATTAACCATCTACTTTTGGTACATTGTGTTTAATCTTCGATACAGGACTAGTATTTTGTTAAAGTTCACTTATAATTGTGCTTCCTCCATTGTATTACTTCTATGTTGGCATTCCTTTTACTGATAGAGCTCTTGTTTCACTTGACTTTTAATTATGGAGGTGCTCACATTAGTCATCCACTATTTGCACTTTCTCGTATTGGTTAATTTGAACGATGAGTTCTTTCTCATTTATTTCTCATGAGTTTTCAACTTTTAGCATGCGTGTCACCGTCTAACCATTTACTTTCAAGTCCCTAGTCATTGGCTTGTAGTTATTAGATTCTATAACTCCCCTACATACTAGCTTGTTCGTGCTTTCTCATTTTGTTTGGAAATTCATGTTTTATCTCATGTCCTTATGCAATACTGTTCCGATGCTCTACCAATGGTTTGTCAGCTTTAACTGTCCGACATGCTTGTTCAGGGCACTCAGGGAATAAGTGTTTGCTAACGGGTTGTGAAACATAGAGCTTGGAGGTAAGACATTACTGCAATCCAACCAACACCTCAAAAGAACCTAACATTAAAGTAAAAGGGAAGGTGAAGTTACTGACAAGCAAACATTGATTGTGAGGGCAATGATTTTAGCACACTCATGTATGTGCAGCAAAACATTTTGGTTGCCTCCGGCTCTTCATGACTGATGATAAAGCAACTATTCAATGATATTGACGTTCCTGTCCCATGACTGCTACTTATTAAATTCATGTTTTCTACATTATTTTGCCTTTGCTACCTTACCAAATCGTCTTATCACAGTTGACCGTTCATTTTGTAACCTGCAACTAAATATCTTTAAATTCGAAAATTATAAGTTCTGTGTAGCTTGAGGATACAACGGATATTCTAGTTTTACAACTAGCAAACAGTAGTGTCTTCTATAATCTTTCGTTCCCAGTCAAATAGAAACCAGAAGTCAGACGAGAAGAGACAGGAAAGATATATTTGATTCGTTACCAATATATCGAGAGACTTCGTTCTTAACTGGCTATTGTAACGTAGGAGCTGTGTCCCACGCCGTGTTGCAACGTGATCTGGTGCGGATGCATGACCGAAAGCCTTCAGTTAAACAAGTCCACTTAAACAACGTGGTCAGCATCCAATGTCGAACACTTAACGAGCTATTGATTTTGGAGATTTATTTACAGCCACAA